AAGATGTTATCTGTTTTTCAAGTGAATCCACTTTTGAGTTTGTAGTGCTGTGATTTAAATTTGGGTGGAATCATTTGGTACTAAGACGAGAGGAAATAATCAGAGATGCTCCTACACATGAACCATAATGCCTTGTGAGGCTCCAATACGAGCAAATGCGCGCTGAAGGTGGAGCCCTATTAGCTAGAATTTAAACTAGTGAGAGCGAACGGTAGTGTGCATGTAAAGTTATTTTTAACTATGTGTGAACATTTGTGAAGCATATGTGCTTTTACTGTCATTATCGCGCATACTTAAACTGAAGCTCTATGCATAATTTATCATTTAAATGTTTATATCTAACACTATAATCATTCTTGTTTATTTTTGCCATCTGGCGTAAACGCGTTTATAGGAGATTTGCTTACTCTTCTATAATGCACACATCTAATATAGCCATGCCATTTTAAAGATTTATTTCTGATAACGTCATCTGGTTTGTTGCATATCATATTTCATTTTTCCATCCATAACATGCATTCCTTGTGTTTCCATGCTCTGTTCATGTGTCTGCCACTACAATGGCCACTTTGTGCCTGCGCTGGCTAAGATGATGACTTGTTCACTGTGGTGAGGAGTACGTTTGTTCTTTGTATTCCTCTTTGACTTTCTGTTTTATAGCAAGCTGCATAATGTCCGGAATATTTTTATTTCAAAATCTATGCTGTTTACGCTGGTGCATCCATGCAAGTGTCCTTTAGCGCAGTGTTTCCCCACCATGTTCCTGGAGGACCACCAGGTCTGCACTTTTTCCATGTCTTCTTAACCAAACACACCTGATTCAGATCATCAGCTCGTTAGCTGAAAGACCTGTAATGGATGTGACAGACAAATGGGACATCCAAAACATGCAGTGCTGGTGGTCCTCCAGAAACATGGTTGAGAAACACTGCAGCAGAATATTAATCTGTAATTTTACCAGTTACAGCAATAATTACGTCGCCTCAAATTCAGGAAGCTGATTTGGTATAAACGGGAAGAGGTAAAACCATTTGTTTGGATTAAGTCTTCTCTTTAATCACTGGTGCTGCTGCTGCTGCATTCATTTAATGAGCTGAACCCAGATGATGTTTGAATTCAATCACTCCATGTTTGTCAGCTTTGGCTTGAGGATCTGTTTTATTATCCTGATGAGCACCAGATTTAGAGGTGGATTTGTTCGGGGTCCTCATAAATCAGGCTGCATTATGTCTAGACACTGACTGAAACCAATACTATGACAGGCCTGCCAACCATCTGGGAAAAAAACAGCTTCCACCTTTAAGAAATTGTTTGCTTGTTTGTATTGACATGTTCTTTTTCTTCATCTTAGAAGTAATAATGATTGTTAGGATTTTAATTTGGCTGTATGCTTTTGCTGGCAGTAAACAAAAGGATTTTGTACCTTCCTAATGTAAAATATCCTGACTGCTCTGTTCTAGGTATTGTCTTTTGAAAGTGGTGAAAGGAATTGACATCTCTATTTTAAAGATAATAAATGTTATTCAATTATTTTCTGTGAGTTCAACACTTGCGTGTATTTGATAAGGATTATTTTATTTTTCTGATGGTCAAACAAAGAATTTGAACTCCCTCTAGTGGATGCAAAGTAAGTACACATTGTAGAATCGTGTCTTTTTAAGTCATAGGTCTCAAACTGGATTCCTGAAGGGCTGCTGCTCTGCACAGTTTTGCTCCAACTCTAATCAAACACAGCTGATCCAAATAACCAAAGTGTTCAGGACTACTAGAGACTATTAAGCAGGTGTGAGTTAGAGCTGGGTGCAGCTAAACTATGCTGAGCTGCGGCCCTCCAGGAATTACGTTTGAGACCATTGTTTTAAAGGGATAGTTTACCCCAAACTGAAATTTCTGTCTTCATTTACTTATCCTTCTCATCACAAACTTGTTTGGGTCTAAATTATTAATGTGCCAAAACAAGTTGTTAGAAACGGGTAACCATTGACTTCCACAGTTTTGTTTTTCATACTATGGAAGTTAATAGTTAACGGTATCTAACATTATTTAACATGTATTTTTTGTGTGTTTAACAGGAAAAAACAAACTTTGTAAATGTTTGGAACTACTTGAGGGTGAGTAAATAGCAAGCAAATGTTTATTTTTGGGTGAACTATCCAATGCACTCCTAAATGCTTTATTTCGTTTATTGTTTTACCCTCATTGATTTTTTTTTTTTTGCACCCCATTTTGAAGCCAATCTATAGACAAATTAACAGTTTGCAAACATTCAGGATGCGCGTGCGGCGAGGTTGCAGAAAAAAAACGGGAATGCTAGCATGAACAGTGAGAGAATGATATCCAATGCGGTACAGAGTTTGTTGTTGTATTAGAGATATAAGTTATATCTATTACATAATTACATATATTATTTACATAATGCTTGCAGCGTATTATAACTGCTTGTCACCCAGTGACAGTTATTCAGCAAAATTATTGTTAAAGTGAGCTGCGTTCATCTGATAGGTCCATTTGTGGTAGCACCCATGAATATTGGATAAGAAGAAATGACCAAGCATCCAGCCCCAAATATACAACTATCTCATTGAAACTCTAAGTGATTTTACAAGAGAGAAGTTAAAAGCCTGCACGTCTTTGGATGCCTACAATTTTGTTCTGTGTGGTCATGTGCAAGAAATAATGTTCCATGATTACCAGATTGAAAACTTTGTAGTGCTAAAAACCGAGGTTCTGCCTAGCCAAAGACAAGGAAAAAAGACGGAACTGTACAAGGTTAATCATCAACAAGCAAAACAACTGCATTCTGACAGTGAACAGCACCTGTACGGCATGGTATGTGATCTTACATTTTTACATTTCATTCTAAGCATTCATTGTTCGCAGTTTTATTCACCATATTTAACTGTTTTTGCTAAAATCATTGCTGCAATCAAAAACCAGTAATGTGAATGATAGCGTGAACTTAATTAATTAGTAAATTAATTTTAATTAGGTCCTCGCTCCATTCAGCTCTTATGATGGCTGTTAGCCAAAGACATCTGCGGTTGGCATTAAAAGCAGGGTGGTGTACGGTCTTGTTTTGGACTTTTAATTTTGGCATCCTACATATGCCAAATTCATAATTTACAGTTGCTAACATTATTAAAAATTAAGGTAAAGCTTGTTAGTTTTTTGAGGAAATTGCACCAATCATTTCAAAACCTTTAACACTTTTAAATGATCACATATTGGGAATCCCCACATCTGGAATGCTGATAATGAACGAAGACAATTCGTATTTTTATTAAATTATTTATGCTGCCTGAGAAATGTTTTGCTTTTACAATGCCATTATGTTAGTTGGATTTCAATAAAAGGTCAATCGCATATACAACACAATCTCACTGCAATTCGTAACTTTTTGATTTGGGCTAATTCATATGAATTTGTATTTGTGATCTTGTTCGTACCATTAGCTTATCCCCCAATGATGGTTGGGTTAAGGGGTGGGGTTGGGTGCCAAGCCTCCTTTTTAAAATTGTACATTTTTATACGACTGAAGTAGTATTAATTTGTATACGAATTAGCCACTAAACTTACAAAATGTAAAATATTAGGTTTCTTCATGAGATCAGACTGGCATATCTAAGACTTAACATTTTTTTTTGTTTGTTTTAGATGTTTGGCAAAAATAAGAATTAAAGCTAAAATTATTAACCTTAATATCTGATAAGTTATAGAAAGTAGAATCAAATGATTAAATTTAATATAAAATGAAATGCTGAATGTTAATATTTTGGCTGCACATATTTAGTACAAGTATTTAAGTTAGCATTACACTACTTGATTAACATGCTTCAACAAATATTATGAAATTTCATAAATATTACTTCATTAAAAATGTATTTTTTTACATTCTTACTTTTTTGCTTTATTTACTTATGCTGTCATCTTTCGTTTACTATACCCAAAAGTAACATGTTTCCACATTTTAGAAAGTATTAATATGACAAAGAAAGCAATTTCAGATGTTTTTTTCTCATTATATTAATACAAGGGTGGCACAGTGGCTCAGTAGGTAGCTATGAAGGTTGCTAGTTCCTAGTTCGCATTTCTGTATGGAGTTTGCATGTTCTCCTCGTGTTCGCATGGGTTTGTGCTCCGGTTTCCCCCACAGTTAGAAGACATGCGTGATTAATAGTGAATTGAATAAACTTAATTGTCCACAGTGTATGAGTGAGCGTTTCCCAGTAATAGGTTGTGGCTGGAAGGGCATCCGGTGCGCGCATAAAACATATGCTGGAATAGTTGGCGGTTTATTCCACTGTGGCAACACCAGATAAATAAGCTGAAGGTAAATGAATATTAATATAAATAGTTAATATATTATGTGGACATGTTTTCTTTTTTTGTAAATAAAAGTAAACATGATGTCTTACCTAAGATCAACACTTACCATGCATACAATACAATAAAAGTTACAATAAAATAAAAGTAACACATTCATGAAGTAGTTTGAAACCCCCTTCATTTCACGCAAAATCTTGTAATCACTGCAGAAACCCCTTTAGATGACCTTCGACATTAAGTGAATCTCAAACCCATTCATATGTTTGTTTGATCATTTGTCATCTAAGTCCTGAAGTTTGCGGCACAAATGTGATGATCTGTCGGTCAATATGTTAAGTTATGATCTGGTGACCAGTAAGAATCTTTAACTAAAAAAAATATCAACTGTGTCCTAAAGTGTCTCCATTTTACCACAGGCCTACATTATGACTTTCAGTGTACATTGTCACATTAACTGGGTTGCTTTATCTCTGAAGTTTTTTTTCTGCTTCCTTCTTCGCCACGAAGATCTCCGAGGGACCTCCGGAACTCTTTCAAGTTTTGCGGGACCTCCATCACGACCCATTTAACCATCTGCTTTGCACGTGTCAAGTTGTACGTGCGACGTCAGGCCTACGCCATCGCGTCGCGAGCCACAGCTCCGCCATATTGCAGGAAATCCGTTTGAGGTTTAGAGATTAGCGTTTAATCTGAGGAGCTGGGAACGAGAGTGTGATTGGAAGTTACTGCTAGCCATATGGTTAGCTCGAGTGGGCGGGTAGATCGCGCAATCGCTGTTGTCAGACGACAGGACATATGTTTATTAAGACAATTCGGCGCGGTTCGGCACGTTATTATTATTATGCCGAACTGACTCACGAATCTGTGGCTAAACTGGCGAGTTGACGTTCTGACTCCGAAAAGTGGAAAATCGGATTAACGTTCAAGATTGCGCACCAAACCCTAATCATCTTGTGTCGGTGGCTCCCGTTGCTTCGAGCCCAAGCTATCTCATCGAGGACGGTTTGCAGCTTATAGACAGTTTAATGTCAGCAGGGAAACACCGGGCTCGATTCTACTAGTTTGTCCGCGCACGACGGTGATAGTGTTTCTGTCAGCCAGCGAAGGGGGAAAGCGATCGAGTCGGTGTCTGCTGGCGATGTTATTATGCTGCCCTGTGACCCGTGTGGCCAACTGTTGTTCAGTGTTGACTAAATTAGCCGTGTTAGCGTGTTAAACTGGTTCGTCGGTGTGAATTTTGAGCAGTTTTTCGGACTCTTCTGAGTCGCTGGCCACTTCGCGATCTCTCTCCTCGCTCTGACTGGCAGCAGCAAACACGGAGGATATCTTTACTCGTTTGCTGGCTAATAAATCCTGACTGAACTCTGAGAAGATGTCGACGAAAGAGCCGAAAGAAAAGCTGTCGACCACCGAGCGAATCATTAAAAGTAAGTTCAATCTCAGTTTGTGTTCTGTGAACGGGCTCTAGACGCTCGAATCTAACGGATTCAGACTTTGGTATTTTGGTGAATCGTTTGGTTCGCTAATTATTTGATTCCTCTGAATCATTCCTTGACAGCTGCTCCTGTGTGTGTTCATTGCTTTAACGTTACTTGTCATTTGTCATTATGGCATCTAGATTGCCCAATTTTCAAGCAGTTAATGCAACTATGCCAGAGTTTTTTTTTTTTTTTTTTTTTTTTGCAATCTTTTATGTTGACATGTTTCTAAGGTGGCAGCAAATTGTTGCATTTCTCATGCTCCATTTAAACACAAAGCAGGGTATTATTTATGTCTACCTTAGGATTTTTTGCAGGTCTTAAAAGTCTTAATTCGTCCTCTCTCTATTTAAGGTCTTAACTTAGAGTAGAAAGCCTACATAGCCATTAAATGTTGGATGCCTGCAAAAAAACAACAACAAAAAAACTATATATATATATATATATATATATATATATATATATATATATATATATATATATATATATATATATATATTGCAACATAAACATTCTTAATCAAAATGTGTGTAATTTAAGATATGATCTGAGAGAATTTTATCCTGTGTTTTTGAGAAATTAAACAAAATGAGTGTTTACACCTACATAAAGCTCATATATCTTTCAAGAGTATAGGAAAATTACTTCAAATTAAATTAAAAATATTGTTTTGAGGCCATTGGTGGATATTTGTCTATTTCAATCACATACTTGCTTCACTTTGATCAGTTTTACAGAAAACAAGACGGCTAATTTAATGTAATTTTGCCTTCCTAATAAATGTATTTTAACGTTTAATTAATGTGTTTAGATATTTACTCTAGACAACCAGACAAAAACGGTAACGAAGAACACCCCCTATAAATGTACTCATCAAATCTATTCATTTTATGGTTTTGTTTTTTTTCAACAATCTGGAATTGGCTTTAATGAAGCTCTTAGAAGCTCTGTACTTGCACAATCACCTCCCCAAAAGCCTAAAATAAGGCATTTGCAGAGTATGTGATTGCTTTTAAACTACTAATCAAAATTGCTCATTGCAGGTTTTAGTATTCATGGTAGCTGAAAACGGTGTCTGAATAAAGCTGTGGTTGTCTTGGAAATCTGCCATGTTTGTAACTGTGTAGGTGGGTGTGACCCTTGTTTCTGACTTATGCATGTAAAATATGAATACTTCTTTCTCCACACTGGGTGGATGAAATCACAATCATTGCTTTGTGTTTGTGGTTATCTGTGATTATTTATTTTATTTTTATCTTGAATAGAACAAACACAATGTTAAAATCTAGCAATGTGCTGCAGTCTTAACAGGGGCTTATCATTATTTGTGGTATAAATAATATGGAGTAAATTGAAACACATGCTTCACATTACCTGCTTGGATCAGTCTTGAGAACTTTTCTAGTAAAAAAAAAAAAAAAGCTTGTGAATTCAGATGAAATGGTGGTTTCTAAAGGGGTTGTGAAGACACAAACCTCTAAGTCTAATTTAATTATGCTAATTAATGTATTTTTATTTATTTATTAAAGTTTAATTTAATTACCTGATTTATTACTTTACTTTTTAATTATGTGTTAGTGGAAATGAGGTAGCGTAGAACAGTAATCAGTGCAAAACTGCATCTTTTTCACAATGCATGTTTCCAGAGGTTTGCCACTGTTTTTTTGGGGTGTTTTGAAAACTTGCAGAACAGGCTCTGGTTCTGTAACTCAAAGAAATCAGCTTCTTATTTTAGTGAAAAAATCCTGTTTCTAGCGTTTAAAGTTATAATGGGTTAGTTACACTGAAACTCCACTGAACACTATTTAATTTGGAACTGATTTACATGGCCTTTGGTTTGATCTGTTTCTTGAAAATCTTGTAAAGGGCATTATTGTAAAATATTATAACTTAAATAAGACAATTTATTTACTCTTCATTTAGATGAGGTAACCAGGTTAGTAAGGTCAAATGAGGTAAATCTGACCAAATTACGACACATGTCCCTTTGTTTGCTATTAGAACTGTACACTTTCTTTGGGCTGATCTACACCAGATAATACATAATAGTGTCAAAAAAGCTGAAATGTTGTTTCTTGAGTTTCTGTTTTTCACCTTTGTGTTGCATGTCTGGCTTTTGTTTTTACTCTTTTTAATTGAAAAAAAAAAATTTATTGTGAAAAATAAATAGCCTAAAAAAAAATTGACTAACACTTATAGCACATTAGTAGGTCTGCACAGGAGCCAATTTGCCTTTCAAATGTCCAGGTTTTGAGTGAACACTTGCGGCCTGCTTAGTGTGTAGGGCTGAAATAGTTCTGAATCTGTCATTCTGAAGGCAGAGTCTGTCCTTGCTAACACTGACATGCAAAGCGGTTGGTTCAGAACTGTGCCATATGCAAATGTTTAAACTTAGATTGAGGATCTGTGTGTCAGATACAATCGTTGAGTGTATGTTTTAGACTCTTTCGACTGTTTATATGATTTATTTTCACTTATAATACAATTTTGGAGCATGCTATGGATTTTTCGCATGAATGTGTCGACATTTCTCAACTTCAGCCTCAAGTCTTCATCTTCTTGTTTGAACTTTAGGGTCAAGATCTTGTTTGCAGAAGTCGTTCCTAAATAAACAGACTCTGAACCTGGAATCCCTGGTTAATAAAGGCTTTGCCTAATCTGTTCTTAGTGCTCGTACCCAGCTTACAGTCCCTATTCCCAGCCTGTGTTGTGGGCCCAGGGCTTCTTATGGTTTATTTATACTCCTCAGCAGTGGACAGTATAGATGATGTTTATTTATGTCCTTATGACAGCAAACTCAATTTGTTCAAACCCTGAACTCAGGTGAGGTGGTGTGGTCAACTCTTGTCCCCCTTTCCGCGTTATCCCCTTAGCGCTTTTTTATTTATTGTGGCCAGCTGAGCGCCTGCATGTGCTGAAAGTGTTCTGCAAAGATCAACCCTGTTCAGCCATGCGCTCATGATAGGATGACTTTCTTTTTTAAGCCATCGCAGGCATTATGCTCACTCCTGACGATGTCATAATAATTCAAATGATTATGTTATGTCTGCCAAAAGCAAGTACTTTATTGTCTTTTCCTATAGTCTTTCTTATGTCATAAAATAGCATGGGTTGAATTTTCATTTATGGAGGTAAAAGGTCATACAGGGATTTTCAGTTGTGGGGTTTACAACTAACATTATTGAAGAAGATATTAATACTGTTCATATGTTTAGCAATATTTTTAAGTTATTAAAGTTATTATATTAATATAACATACCTATATTTAACCAGAATACCTATATTTACCAGTCAGCTATAGGAGTTTATAGTGAAAGTACGCACTGGTGAAATAATTTTTGAAATGGCAGCAGCAAAAAAATCACCACTAATCAACAACAAAAGACTAAATTAAAACGGACTGAAAGGACTGACTAAATTAAAAACTGAAATTAGAATAAATGGCCTCGTCAACATTTTTTTTTATTGTAAATGGTAGATTATAAGGCTATGTATTTTATGCTGGTGTATGGTATTTAGGCGTTATAATAGGGCACTTGTAAAACAAAAAAACAAACAAACAAACATGTGTCCACAGAACCGTGATACGAAATGACAATTTTGTGAACCGTCTTTTTTAGATACTATTCCTTATTGGCAGTATAATTTTTAATTTTTGTTTTGTTAGCTTAGTTTACAGTTACTATTAACTAAGTTCTATGAATAAGTAAAAGTAAAACGTTCTAGGAGACATTTAACCGTTTTTCAAGAGAGAGGAAAGAAATTTTGTTTTGTAATGTTAAAAAAAATCATATAAATGCTTTTATTTTGAACTTCCTGTCTGTCAATTCTAAAATATTTTTTTCTGTATCACTATTTTTACTGTGGTGAGCTGTAGTAACTTTGGTTAGAATGATTGTTCTGTCCTACAAATCTTGTCACAATGTATACATCAAGATGTATATTTAAAAGCCAGAGATCCACCTAACAGAAAGGTTAAATCTAATAAAAACAGTATAAGTGCAATAATGGGTACTTAATCTGGTTAGAAATATATCTGATGCAGTTTTTTTTTTTTTTTACTGGTGCCATTTATTTTGGCTGTACTAATCAAGATGTACATCTTGAACTATGAGGGAGTTTGCTGGGTCTTAAAATGTCTTTTTAAAAAAGTCTTAAATTCACTAAAATGTCGTGTTGTAGGTCCTAAATCATTTTAAACAGGTCTTCTTTTTGCTTTATCCAAATAAAAGCTACTCTATCAGATCGACATCCATCCAATGACCAACGATACATCTCAATAAAAATGTTTTTTTTTTAAATACATTTCAAGGAGATAGAAATGACCACAGCAAAATCCCCAAATTAAATTCCGTAATTAGGGAAAGAAAACAATTACACAGTTTCTCATGATAATACCGGGCTTTTCGGAGTATTTAACTTTGTACAAGTATATATTTCATTATTATTGGTCTTAAAAGGGTCTTAAATTGGTCTTGATGAAACCTGCAGAAATCCTGACTCTATATTAAGTTATACATATGCTATACATAAATCATATTTGATGTTACTCTAATAGTGGGTAAGAACATATGTTGCCACTTATTGTTGTATGTGTCAGTCAGAAGTTGTTTTCATAATTTAGTAAGTGGATCCTGGGAATCACAAAACAACTGCATCTGTAGTTACGATTTGCTTAAATTATGCAAAATCTGTTGTGGACGGAGTGTTGTTTCCATCCTTAGTCGTAGAAATAAAAACAGCAGCTCTTCAGAATAAAATTTAAAGCCTGAAAATCTGTTTTAACTTGTCAGTAGTAGTGATGTCTTGAGCTGAAGTATTCAGTACATATTGACACATGCCCAGGGTGTGGCCTTGCCATATAGATATTGAAATCAGTGTGGTTCAACTTTGGCCATGTGAAGAGCAATACCATGTTTTGGAATGCTCGGAATTTGTGTCTGTTAACT